TGGGAGAAACCCCAACATACCAGCAGCAATCCGAGGGGATACCTAGATACCCACCCCAGCCTGCCGCCTCTCACCAGAAGCAACTCCAGACTGATAAAGATCTCTAATTTGGATGGTTGAAAGAGTTTTCATACTTCATTTTCTTTCATTCCATTGCTTTTCTTTAGCTTTCTATTTAAATATAGCTTCCCTCTGCTGTTGGAAACTGGCAGCTAGGTTTTCACTATGCAGACTAAGCCAAAGACACAAGAAGAAAATATTTTGACAATAGGCTTTATCAAATTTGGCTTGAGATTCCTTCATCGCCTTGCGCAGCAGACCATTAGATTAAAGCTGTGCTTGTGTAAATTCTTTTCACTGCTCATGTGATTGACGTTCTGTTTGAAAGTAAAGCAACAATAAAAACACACAGACCACGATGTGGGCTTCATAGATAATTGGCAAACTTTCTGGAGGAAAACTGCTCTTGTTAGGAGAGACAGCATCCATCCCACTTTGGATGGAGCAGCTCTCATTTCTAGAAATATGGACAAATTTATTAAACCCCACAAAATATGACTATCCAGAGTTGGGACCAGGAAGCAGAGTTGCAGTCTTACACGCCTCTCTGCAGCTTCTCTCCTGTTACCCCCCCAAAACCCATCTCCATAGAGACTGTGTCAGCTTCCAAAAAGACAACAAACAAACTAAAAACCAGCAACAAACGACTTAAACATAAACAATTACAAAGAAAGAACAATACAGTATCCACATCTGAACCAAAGAGTAAAACAGTGAAATGTGGATTAATAAATATTAATAAATATTAGGTCTCTCATCAATGTGAAGAACGCCTTGTGTACCATTTAGCCCAGGGTTTGCATCTTGTGTGCCTTATCTAGCTGGGCCTTATACTTACCCTGCACATATGCCATGTTGAGTATTTGACTGTATTACTTTTGAAAATGTTTGTATTTTTGAATGTCAGGAGCCATTTCCATTTGTCAGGGAGCGTGTGACACACTAATGTGTGATCCCATCAGAAGTAGTACTTGTTAAAAAAAATGAGAGATTTGTCACCGAAGTGAACTATGTGTAATGAGGTAGTTGCACCCTCCCAGCCTCCGGGTGGCGCATTGTTCAGTGAGACAGAATAGCGAGGTCATAGGTCCTCCTCTCCAATATGGCAGAAGCGAGGCAAAGAGAAACTTCACCAGTCGTCTCTGTCTCATCATTTCCCTGTTTTGCAGGTTTGTAACCGGTAAAACTATATTAAAACGGTTGTAAAATATTGATAAGAAACACAGCTAAATGTGAGGGTATAAATCAGCGGGTAAACCCTGTTATTTGTTACGTTTTATGAAGTAGAAGGACTGAAAAAAATGCCAAAGCCTAGCCAGCCGCGGGCGCCATTTTGGTTTCCTTTCTCCACTTATTTCAGGTCGTTTTAGCTGAATAAGCTCCTTGTCGTGTCCTGATTTTGTGAATATGAATGTTAATCTGCTGTTGGCAGTGAAGAACGACTGTTTACTGGTTCTGAAAAGTGATTTTGAGAATGTTAAAGCTAAAGCTAAGCCTGCCAGCATACACATGACTCTTTCATGTATTTGTGAGCTACTAAGCTAAATTGGTTTAAGACCAAGCACTGGTATGTTGGTTAAAACAATCAGAATACATAGGTATTTGGGTTAAGAGTTAAATAGAGGTAAAAATGTATTTGAACATGCATTTCATATTGTTTTGAATTGTCATTCAGAGAGAATAGCCGAGTAAATGATTTGAAGGTCACTACACGTGAAGTACTCTTGTTTCCCATGAAAAGATCGTGGTATTGCAGCTTGAACATACAGACGGTTTTATTGTTATTTCTGTTGTATATAGAGAATGGTGATGCTGCAAGTTAAAAATACATGTGATTGTATAAATAAATATGGCAGAAGCGAGGCAAAGAGAAACTTCACCAGTCGTCTCTGTCTCATCATTTCCCTGTTTTGCAGGAACATTTAATCTGTTTTACCGGCCCATACTCTGGGTCGGTTACACAGGCTTACTTGTTGTTCCTCAAGTATTTAAAAGTGTCATGGTCCGCGGCCCGGCGTCCGGGGTGCTGCTGGGATGTCCACGCCCACGAGCGTGGCTGCTAACCCCACACCTGCATCCCATCCCAGGCGATCATCAGGTGGACTATTTAATCCTGCCCTACCTGCTGCTCCACGCCAGTCCGTAGTCGCCTCTCAGCGGTAACGTACGCCTGCGGGAAAAGAACTCTTATGACAAACTCTCCATCGGACCTAACACTGTTTTTTTTTCCCTGTGTACCCAGATCACAACTCGGCGTGTTTTTGTTTACGAGCCACTTGCCTGTCCACCTGTCCGCCTGAGATTCGGTTCACCATCAGCTCCGCCGTCTCGACCCCTTTTGGAGCTCCACCCCCCCCCTCTGGTTCACTCGGCCCGGCTATCACCGTGAGACGCACACTCCACCTTCCCTCGTATGCTGCCTTTTTTCCGCACTCCAGTAATCTGTCTCTCTTTTTGTTTTACAGCCTCTCACAGCTCCGCTCTCGGCGTTCCCTGCGCGGTCCCTCGGTTTCTTCTGGTTCCATACGTTGATTTTCAGGCTACCCTCACGGGACACCTTTAGTTGCAATAAAAATTACTTCCTTTATTCGCTCCTACCCTAGTGTGTGTGTTCTGCTACTGGGTCCTGCCTGCGCTCGGAACTTCGGTTCATGACAAAAAGTGGTCAGAGCATTCAGTTTTCACAGGCCTCAGACACTGTGTCTGAGGAGGATGTGAGGAATTGCTTCAGTGCTTGATTTTTATGTCGATAGTCCCTTGTATAGTGCATATTATGTTTGGTTTTGCTTCCCCTGTCTTAGTTAGATTCCATGGAGCTGTGTTCCCAGGTGTTTCCCATCTCCCTAATTACCCAGCATGTATATACTCTCTAAGTCTCCCTTGATTCTTCGTCGTGTCATCACTTATGGTTGTATCCTCCCTGACAGTTTGTGGTCCTTTAAGATTAGTGAAAGTTTGGTTTCTTTTTTTTTGGACCTGTATTACTTTGTACTTTAAGTTCTGCAGTAAAGCTGTGTTTTAATTTAAATTTAATTCACGAGTCCTGCATTTGTGTCCAACTCCTGCCTGCTACACAGCCAGCTTTGACATTTTTTGGCTCCAGACATCTAAAAGATACACTGATAAAAGCTATTTTGGAGAGAGGTATATATAATCTATGCAAATCATGTAAAATTTACTCTATTATTGCACTCAGCCAAGGAATTATAAAGTAATGGGTTAATTATACCCTTTTCCTAACAGTAACAACATCACATTAAAAAACTGCAGTAAAATATACCCCCAAACAATGAGTCTTAAGTTCCTAATTGCGCATGCGCCAGACTGCGCTTTTTGACCAAGCGGGACAGCAAGCAAATTCTGGGTCCTCTTTCCAGGTTCCAACGAACCCGATCGAACCACAGAAGTTAAGGTAAGCTATTTACACAGGGTGAATAATATATAATAGCGTATGCAAATGGTAATTTTTGAAGTAATGAGCTATAACACTTCACTTGTATTGCTTACGTCTGTGTAATGCACCATTACTTGAAATAAAACTTTGAATCTGCTGCTGTCTGTTAACCGTCTAGACAACTGCCGGTAAGTTGCAATGGTGCACCTTTTATCAGTCAGCATGCATGACCAGTCCCGGACTGGTAATTGGAACGCTGAGGTTGTGTCCAAATTCATGGGCTGAATCGTCCTGAGGACCCGGCTTTCGCGGGCTATGTGGGCCGGTCCTCAGAAGGTTAGATAGGCCGGATGTAAACCTATGTTTAACCAGAGTAGCGAAAGATCTGAAAATGATGTGCCGGGATTGTGCCATTCTCGGCGACTCTAGTGACCCTCGAGCTCTCGGCTAGCTATCGAGCTGGTGGGTAACAGACATCTCCGAAAACGTCGAAGCACTTTTGCAAATATGCGATGTCTCGATAAACGGAGCAGATAGTTGCAGTTTACATACCCACATTCTCTCCTGAAAATATGTTAAAAGTTTATTTTGTGACCCAGAAAGAGTCATTTTAAAAGTTAGTAGCGACCTCCATTGCCAGAAACTGGAGTTTGGCTGGGCCACGCTATGAATTCTGGGATATGGTGGGCCACGAAGGACACACCCGAACCATCCTTAAAATTCGAGCAAAAGGAGGACGCATTTGTCGGCTACATTCGGAGGAGTCCACGAATTTAAACAGCCTTCGGCACGTCGCTGTGACGTAATCAGTCTACAAATGCATCCCCAGGAGGATGAAGCCCATGAATTTGAATCACAGTCTTTGCAAACTACTTTCCTGCCTTGATGAAAAAGAACATGGACGTCAGACAATTTATTTTGAGAAATGAGAGGGGCAATCCTTAAGTTGTGGTGGCTCTGCTTCTGGGTCAACACATAAAACAGGTAAACAAACTTAAATCCTGTATGTCTTTGAGGTTCTATGAACATTGGGCAGATCATTCCCAACAGTCGTGTTTTAAACTCTTAAAAATCAGCTGTTGCTTCTGTCTGCATCTCCCCATTGATCT